ACTTGGGGCACCTTAGAGACTAACAAATTTATTAGAGCATAAGCTTTCGTGGACTGCATCCGAAGAAGTGGGCTGTAGCCCACGAAAGCTTATGCTCTAATAAATTTGTTAGTCTCTAAGGTGCCACAAGTACTCCTGTTCCATCATACATGGTGACACAAATGTCACCTCAATCGGGACCCGTTGTCAGTGCAACCCAGATGCAGTCACACAAGGCCCAGATTTTTAGAAGTGTGTGCACAAATGCGTGTGTGCTTTTGCATAGTTAGCTTGCAAACTCAAGGAGTGTTGTTGCCCAAATGACTGGTTAGATTTTTTTGCAATGTTGTAGCCATGTTGGTCCTAGGATGTTAGAGAAACTACGTGGGTGCAATATCTTTTATTGGACCAATTTATGTTGGTGAAAGAGTCAAGCTTTCAAGCTACACTGAGCTCTTTTTCATATCTTCAGACCTGTAGATCGAAAGCTTGTCTCTTCCCTCTACAGAAGTTGGTTCAATAAAAGATATTACCTCACCCACCTTGTCTCTCTGCTTAGATGTGTAACTGATCATCTGCATACACAGTTATTGTGATGCACACAAATTAGGTGCCTGGGTTTATATGCCTTCAGTCTAAAAATGCAGGCGACACAGAATATTATGTATATATAGGCCTCATATAGCATTTTACCTCTTCAAATCACTGCAAACACATGAACTAATTCTCACACCCCCATTGAAAGGCAAGTATTATCCATTCTCTTTTTTATTAGATGGAAGAGCAGAGAGGATAAATGACTTGTTCAAGGCAATATAACAAGGCAGGAGCAGAATTAGAACTCGGGTGCCTTCGGCTTCAAGTTCCATGCTTATTTCACTAGACCAGGGGTCGGCAACCTTTCAGAAGTGATGTGCCGAGTCGTCATTTATTCACTCTAATTTAAGGTTTCTCGTGCTAGTAATACATTTTAATGTTTTTAGAAGGCCTCTTTCTATAAGTCTATAATATATAACTAAACTATTGTTGTGTGTAAAGCAAATAAGGTTTTTAAAATGTTTAAGAAGCTTCATTTAAAATTAAATTAAAATGCAGAGCCCCCCGGACCGGTGGCCAGGACCCGGGCAGTGCGAGTGCCACTGAAAATCAGCTTGCGTGCCGCCTTTGGCACAGGCGCCATAGGTTGCCTACCCCTGCACTAGACCCTGCTGGCTCCCTATGCATCTCTATCTAGAAAGAGATGCATCCCTCTCTTACACATTTGTTTGGTGGGCAGTCTAGAAAAGCAAAACAGAAAAACATGCAAGTGTCAGAGAGATTAGTACAGTGTTTATAAACCTACCTTTTGGAGCCGTCCCTGGGGGCTAAGCATTCTGAGTGTTGTTCAGTGGCTCTATTGCTACAGTGAAGGATAGCTGTTTGTTTAACCAAGGATAGCCTAAATATCACCTGTTGTAGTCTACACATACATGAGAGGTCATTGGCTGTTTTACCTGGGAGAACTGCATATTTACAGTACTTATGGAGAAAACATTAAGGGGTACATCATGATGTCAATTGTAAGGGCATGTGAACCCTCAAGATGCTCAGAGTTCTGGTTTATTTTGGTTAAGAAAATAAGTCTGGATCCTCCTCCAAACCTCTTGAGCCGTTCGTAAAATTTGGACGTATCATGAGCACAGGCTGTTTCCTGTTATTTTAGCTTGTCTGTATCAGGTCCCACCTGGATGCAGAAGTAAATAAAAGAATGGTCCAAACATTGCAGAACTTTAGAAAAGGTTCGGTTCTCCGGGGCTCATTATGGTGGTTGGGGCCTTTATATTTCCTGAATCAGGTATAGCCTGTGTGCACCATACTAATCATGTAGCTCTATGAGATCCCAGAATATCATTTTAAAAAAGCCAACAGATGTGAAAATTAAGGTTCGGAAATGTCCTCATTGCTGATTTTCATTCAAACAATCTGGATCTTCTGTTCAGCTGCCCAGATATTCCTGTCCTACTTCCCCGCTCACTAAGGTCTCTAGTAAATTCTGTGAGAATGAAAAATTAGTATGGTAACCAAGTAGTAAAGCACGGTCTACATTCTTGCCTTGTTCAGCTTCTCTGTGTTTTACCCAGTAACATGATAGGGTCGGCTGGTGGACTATGAGGTAGCGTCTCACCAAGTGTCATGGTATTTTATTAAGTCAGAAATGTGATAGCTACTGTTGTCACACTTCAGTGTACAGAACAATTCATTCGTAAATGAGAAAAGCAGATCCCCCACAAATACCTTTCCCCTTACATAATGCACAGCATAATGCACAGCACAATGCAACTGAAGCTGAGTGGGCTGTGACAATATTATTCCAGCGTGGCTTTCACAGCTCACAACCACTGCTGGGAATGTTTTTTTAATTTTAGAACGGGGGCGTGTGCCAGCAGAGATCTGTTATTAATTTATTTTCTCAGCTCTCATTTGTAGAGTCGACACTCACTTAAAACAAGGGCCTCAATTATAAAGCAAGGAACAGAGGAGATGGGAACCCATTGGATTAGATACTTTAGAAACCCCTACTCAGCAAAAGTCAGGACTTGTATCATAAGGGATCCAGCATTATACTATAAGGGAAGCAGCATTAATACATCTCTGACATGATGGTTCTTGAAATTTTGGGGCTACATTTTCAAAGGAAAGTGTGTGCACAAAATCATATGTACTTCCATCGCATTACAACCCTTAAGTGCATTTGCAGCTCAGGAAACTCTGCCTTCCTAGATAGGAATGGTGGGTAGAATTTTCAAAAGCACTTGAGCAATTTAATCATTTTTGAAAATGGGCCTAAGTTCTACTTTCAAAATGGCCTCAGTCACTTAAGTGATTTTGAAATTTTTACCCAATCTGCAGAAATGTAGGATTTGTGAACAGAACTGTCTCACATGCATTTCTGAAGGCACGTTTGTGATGTCCTCCCTTTGGAAATCTAGCCACAAGATTTTTTGTGTGTTGGCGGAAGGAGTGGATTTAAATAGAAAATCCTTGGCTGTGTAAAGAGACTACTACAAGCTTCATACTGTAGATAACAAAGAGTGACTAGTGAAGCAGATAAACCCACATTAAGTATCATGGATATTGCTTAGAGTCCCTGTCCACTTCTGTAATTCAGTGAAAGATCAGCCAAAAAAACAGAACAATATCTGCTAACTTCCAAGGGCCTTTGCAACATACATTGTCCTTTCCCTGCAAGAGTCAAAGAAGAGAGAGAGAAAAAGGCTCCCTGACTTTCTTCCCATCCCCTTTTTAATCACGTCAAGTCAGAGAAAGAAACCATAGAAATAACATTTCTTGAGATTTTGAGGTAAAGCCTTCACCACTCAAACAATGAAGAATTTAGATGATACGATCTAGAGTACATATTTCATGCTCCAAGTGCATAATCTATTCAGTTTAAGTTTCCTGTGTGGTGATTTCCTTATTACTTATGTGTATTATTTCTCAACTTTGTCTGTGGAATGGGGATCTGACAGGGTCCCTTCTCTTGGTGGATGGACAGGAGAGGGGAAAGCCCCAGCAAGCACTGGGGGAAACACTATAGGAGCAAGACAGGTCTCAGACAGGAAATTTCTGTGGAAAGACCTAGAAAAAGGGTGTTTCTTCTTTCCCTTAAATTAAGCCTGAATATTCTTATTGGTACAGTAATGCTCTTTAATGGGGAAGGCTGCTGATTCAGATACCACACAATGTATGTAAACTACTAATGGTTCTCTGTTTTACTGGTTAAGAGACAAATAAGTTCCTTTGCATCAGCTTTACACATTTCTGTATGAAGAGGAAGAACTTTCACCTTAATGTGCAATTGAAGAACTATTGTGAGCTCAGACAATTCTTGCTTAGGCACAGTTATTCTATTCATGTTGTGGCCAAGCAGCATCTGAAATTGGATTGTAATCTAATCAATTGACTGGAATTTGTTGAGAGTATTAGCAATACCGGGGGACCTGATTTTACCTTAATATCTGTCCTTAATGTGTTTTTCATTTCATGATACTTAGTCCTGCCACGAGTGCAGGAACTGCACTAGATGACCTCTCGAGATCCCTTCCAGTCCTATGATTCTATGATTATTCTATGATAAAATTCTTCCTTCAAATTTGTTATTCCAAGGCAATATCATTTCCTGATTCATTTGGATTTTTTTGTTTATGCTTTGCAGGATTGTGACCAAATACACATAGACGACGTATCATCAGATGACAATGGACAAGATCTAAGGTAGGTAATCTCTGGACTGGAACCTCCATCTCAAACAGTCCACAATTCCTTGGAAATGGCTTGAGAATGAGCAATGGTATAATATAAATAACATTCTTGATCTTGCTGTTTTCCCCTTCCACATTCCTTGCATTCATCAATGCATGGGAGCACAAAACTCCTCTTTCTCACACTAATATGCCCAGGCCTTATTCTCACGACCTGTCCATACTAAACTTTAAACCATACTGGAAAACAAGTTTGAAAATGGGTTGAACTCAACTCAGCTATGCCAGTTTCAAATATGGTTTTGCCAGCCAATGTAGATTGGACCAAACCATTTCAAAACCATTCTTGAGCTTAGAATTGTGCAGTGCTGTGTCTGGACTGTATGAAACTCAGGCCCACTATTCCCAGGAGCTTTGCCCAAACTAATGGGAGAGGTCCCACTTTTGCAGCCGAAGGTCCTATATGTATCCCCATATTCTGTGTTGTTACAAGGAAATCGTATGATTGTGGGTTACAGTCAGGGCCGGGTCTAGCATTTTTGCTGCCCCAAGCAGCAAAAAAAAAGCCGTGATCACGATCGGGGGCAGCTCTAGCGCCCCTTCATTCTACGGCGGCAATACAGTGGCAGGTCCTTTGCTCTAAGAGGGAGTGACAGCCTGCCACTGAATTGCCGCCGAACTGCCGGATGGGCCGCCCCCCTCTTCATTGGCTGCCCCAGGCACCTGCTTGCTACGCTGGTGCCTGGAGCTGGCCCTGGTTACAATGTAATTATCATATTTTCCACTGGAATTGACTCCTGGTTACAGTATTGTTATTTATTGTAAGATCTCAAGATTACTGTGGCAACTGTACTATTAACACATCATCCTCCTCTACTTGCTATATAATTTGAGAATTAATTGCCTCAATGCTATGCATCCCAAACACTTATTTTCCATGTGACATTTCTTTATGTGGGATATGTTGACAACTCCATGGTCACAGCATTGATTACACCCGGCATGAGCTTCATGGCTAAGAACTGTGCAGTATTTTGAAAATTCAGTCCTGCATTTTGGACTATTTCATGCTGCACTGAATATTATTCCCAAAAAAGTGGTACCTTTGATCACTGCTACCAGAAACTCATGAAGGTGTTAGACATATTCCTCAGTGAAACAACCCTGCAATTTAGGCTTATCTGTCACCTATCACAGAGCACAGAATGGTACAGCCAGAACTCAGTGTCACAATAAAATGTCCTCTTTGATTTAAAGGAGTGATTTTTAGTGTCCAGCAATCTTACATAGTGAATGGCAGGTAGACCAGTAAAAATTGGCTTTGTCATGAAAATATTACTCCAAATTTGCATACACCAATACTGTGTGTATATAAATCAGGTAATCATGCACATGATAAATTTGCATGTGCATTTACCAAAGTGTTTGCACGTGCATTTGCCAAGTGTGCATGTACATTCACAGTAATTGTGTGTACAAATTGGATGTGCAGTTGTTCACCTACATTGTATGGCAACCGGGACCTATGTTTACACACTGTTGTTTTCCAATGGGTTGTTTATATGATGAATGGATGTAGCTACATGGTACAGAGTACTATGGAAGCCTCATAGGGAAGGCAGTTCTCCCCACACAGAAAAGCTTCACTCAGAGGAGCAGGGCCAGATTAACTCTCCTGTGGGCCCGAAGCTATTAGATTTTGTGGGGCCCCGGGTTTGGAGTGGGGGAGTGGGTTCAGGGCTGTGGCAGGGGATTGGGGTGTGGGAGGGGGTGCAGCTCCAGCTGGGGGGGGGTGGGCTCTGGGGTGGAGCCAGGGATGGGACAGGTAGCTGGGGTGCAGCAGGAGGTTTGGGGTGCGGGCTCTGGGGGGGAGTTTGGGTGCAGGAGGGGGTTTGGGGCTGTGGTAGGGGGTTGGGGTGCATGAGGAGGTGTGGGGTGCAGGCTCCAGCTGGGAGGCGCTTACCTCAGGCAGCTTCTGGTCGGCAGAGCAGCAGGGCTAAGGCAGGATTCCTGCCTGCCCTGACTCCACACTGCTCTGCTCCCCAAGGTGGCCAACACGTCCGGCCCCTAGGCAGAGGAGCCAGACCGCTCTGCGTGAGGCATGCTGCCCGTGCCCACAGGCACTGCCCCCGCAGCTCCCATTGGCTGCGGTACCTGGCCAATGGGAGCTGTGGCACTGGCGCCCGGGGTCAGAGATTCCCTGAATGCCCTTGCCTAAGGGCTGCAGGAGCACATCTGCGAGCTGGCACTTGCGGTGCCAGCCCTAGGGGGGGCGTCGAGGCTCAGGGAGTGGTGTCCGGCCCACGGCGTGGAGACTTGCCGTGGGCTGGATGAAAAGAAGCAGCGGGCCATATCTGGCCTGTGGGACCCCCCTTAGCCCGAGGCCCTGGGCTGCAGCCCCTAAAGCCTCTGAATTAATCCAGCCCTGGAGAAGAGGTCTTATGTCATTTGGGATTGTAGTTTATGCTTTGCAAAGCACTGAAAGAATGGGACACTTTCAGGCTGTTTTATTAGCCTATAAGTAGGCTCTACTGCATAGCAAATCCAAGTATGAGTGCACATATATATAAATGATAAACTGGATTTTACCTTAAGTAAATTAGTGCAAACAATCCTTGCCTGTTCTGAGAGTATATGGGAAAGCAATCTGCCAACAGCATCTCTTTTCATCCTGCAACAAGCCCAAGCCCAAAAGATCTCTACTGCTTTTCACATACTTCTCATATGCTTAGGGAAATTAAGCCAAAATAATTTTGGGAAGTGAGTTAAGCTAAATTAAAATAAAATGTCACTTTACTTCTGAATGAGCACATCCACACAGGAGTTTAACGTGCTTTAAATTCTCAGCTTTAGTTGATTTGATTTAACTTCCTGCATAGACAAGGCCTTTGTCGTCTTTCCTATATGCCATACCCATTTTATTCTCTTCTTCTGGGCTCTGCTTGGGCGGCGTTAAAGAGATTTTGCTGGAGAATGTTTATGACCATGCGTTGTAAGCAGCCACTGCTCTTTCATTCCACTGTTAATTATTTTCCTGTTCTAAAACAGGTTCAAAGCCCGGTATTAACATATAATGCCAAACAATCAGAAAGGTCTATATCAGAATTACCTTCTTTAGGATTTGAGTATTTCTGCAGACAGATAGTTGCATTAGCATCTGTGTTTCAGTAAGCCAGGCATGCATAGTGATTCAGTGCGCAGTTGTGATTTTCATGTAGAGGACAGTCCTGTTTTTCTCTGTGTTCAAGGTAGTTCTAAGACTCTCACAATGAATGGGTGGTAGTAACCAACATGTATGATGTCTTCATCAGAAGGCATTTTCACTGTTTGTGCCCCCTAAATTCCTCATTGTTTTCAGAGATGTGTAGAAACTAGCTATGAAGAGCGGGGTGGGATAGCTCAGTGGTTTGAGCATTGGCCTGCTAAACCCAGGGTTGTGAGTTCAATCCTTGAGGGGGCCATTTAAGGATCGGGGGCAAAATCAGTACTTGGTCCTGCTAGTGAAGGCAGGGGAGTGGACTTGATGACCTTTCAAGGTCCCTTCCAGTTCTATGAGATAGGTATATCTCCATATATTATATGGGAGCAGTGCTGGGCTCCACACCTCTGGCAATCCTGTTAGTTCTTCATGCCTGAAAATAGGTTTTTCTTGTCAAAATTAATGGACCAAAATTTTCACCCCATTAATCCCCATATAGGATCAGTAGTTGTATCCAGTCACACATGGAAAACCATATCTTTTATTGTACAGATCTGGCATTATCACGCCAGATGTTTAAAACCGTCAGATGCACAATTGTAAAATGCACATGCAATTACATACCTGCATTTGTGTAAAAAAATGGCCCTCTAAGTCAGTCCGCCTAATTTGCTTGTATAAGTGTGTGTTGGGGGGCTGATGGAGAGTTGTGCATGCAAATAGGTGTACCCACAAATTCAGCAGGAGTGGTAATGGGAATTGACTGAAGATTTAGCCCAACAAATAAATTAGCACACACAAATTGATAGGTATTACCAGAAACACCGGTAGGGCAAGAAGAAATTTATTCCTCCTCCTCCTGTGCTTTACCAGCTGCCTCCATTACTCTCCAGCAACATCTGGTGTCCCTCTTCCCCCACCCCTTTCACTTGTTTCTAAACCCTGTTGGAAGGAACCTTGTATTATATAATTGCACTAACACTCTTTCCCGTTTCTTCCTCCTCCTCTTTCCCCTGCTTCCCCCCCCCGACCAGCACATATAACTTCTCAGCAGATGGCTTTCACAGTTCAACTGCTGGTGCAAATCTATGTCTGGGCTCTGGAGTTCATGGGGGAGTTGACTGGATGAGGAAATTAGCATTCCGCTACCGTCGGGTGAAAGAGATGTACAATACCTACAAAAACAATGTAGGAGGTGAGTGTCTCCACCGGGGAATGGCCCCTTTCATCTCTCAAAAAAACCTCTCTCTGTTCAGCAGGATAAACACTACAAGGTAGGTGTGTAGCAAGCAGCATACTTAGGGCACCTTGATCTTTGGAGAACTGAACTGCTAGGCAAGCGTTTCAGCAGAATTCAGCAGTGTTATCCTTAAATGACAATGGTCATGACAGAATAGCCTAGGCACTCCAAAAACAAGGAGCAAACTCATTTGTTATAGGGGGAAGTGCAGTCTAATGGTCAGAGCAAGGGACTGGGAATCAAGACTGCTCCTTATCCTGTTCCCATCTCTGACACATTGTAACAGGGTGGGTAAGTTGCAGCCTGTCTACACTAGAGTTTTCCCATGTGCAGACTGGGGCTAATACCTAGCTCACATAGGTGTGTTGTGAGGCTTGGTTAGTTTTTGCCAAGTGCTCTGAGGTCCGGTGAAAGGCATTAGAGATAGTGGACCAAACTACAAAATCTGGATCTAGATGTCACACGCCCTTCCCAAGGTCAGGAGTTGATCAGACAAGAGGTTGTGGTTCAGGCCTATCTCTAATTAGCAGGAAATGAAATATTGCTGCTCCTAAGAGGGCTCTGTAAAGTTCTGTGTTCCCCATGCCTGTTCCCCTGTACACGAGAGGAGAAATCAAGCCCTGCTTTAAGAGCCTTATACACAGCGTGCTGTGTCTACTCTAAATGAAATTATTGTAAGGTCTTTCAGGAGGGGCTAATTTCTGTTCTCTATTGTACAGGGCCTAGCACATTCAGCACTCCAATAATAACGGCCTAGGCACTAATTCCCTAACCCATGGCAATAGGTTATTTAAAAAAATATTTTTAAAATGTACATTTCATTCACACTGATATTTGTGCATCTAATTAAAGGGCACCCCATCTCCAAAGTCCTTGGGATCCCTAACAAATACAATTAAAACCACATATCTTTGCCAAAAGAAAGCTGTGTGACCCAATAAATTAATACCAGAGCTGGTGCAGAAAACATTATGTTCATCACCTCCCCAAACAAACAATAAATAAAACACAAACACACCCTTCAAACAACCTAAAACCAATATCTCAAGTCTCACACAGAGGGATGCATAGATGAGCTCTGGTGTACATGGAAGGAAAGAGTATTCCTTAGTCACAGTTCCCTATCCCACATCCCATCAAAATGATATCACAAAACAATGGGATGGTCTAGCCTCCTTGATCTCACAGCCCAGTTTCTCTCTTAGGCTGGGTTGGGATTTTGTCAGCACAAGTGTCTCAGAACTAGAACCAGAACAACATATAACCAAAAATAATAATATTCCTAAAGGTATTTTAAATATTTGCCTTTTACGTATTTAGTGGGAATAATGACCTTCCCATATATACTGGGAATAACGACCTTGTGGACAGATTTTTAGGGGGATTAATGACCTGCAGGACCCAACAGTCGTCTGTTTCTGCTCAGACCTCTATCCCCTCCGCACTGGTCGTTAATTCTCAGGAAATGCCCGGCACCTCAATCATTACTGCTTAGTTCTATGGGAAATTTCAGAAAAGTATTCTAACTGAGCCATGCAAATTGCTAACCACAGAGACAGAGCCGAGCAAAATACTGGCTAAATATGCCAGTGCTAACTACCACATCAGTGAATGTATTTCAGAGAAGGTTTCTCCATACAACAGGCCCTTAGTCGTGAAACACTTTGCACAGCAGCCATCTAGAGGTTCAGTGGGTTGAAGAAGAGACCAGTGACAGATTAAAGCCCCTCAACTCATGACTTGTGCAGAAGAGACTGGGGTCAAGATGGGAGGGGGAATGAGGGAAGTGGATGAATAGGAGTGAGAAACATTGGGGGCATTCAGGGCATCATCTATTTTGAAGCGATGTCCAAAAAGAAGGCTAGCAGCAGGTTCAAGAGGGAGAAGGGAAGGGGACTCAGGGCAGAGCCTTGACACACTCCATAGCAGCAGGATTAGGAGTCTCCACCAGGAATGAAAAAGGAGCAGCTTGAGAGGTAGGATTCAAACATGGCCAGGAGAGAGCAGGAGGCCCTTTGGAATACTGTGTACTAAGCTGTGCAAGACATTCCCTTTCCGTGCAGCTACAAATAATGTTGCTTAATTTCCCTGCTTGCAGGTTTAATAGGAGCTCCTAAGAGGGAAACCTGGCTGCAGTTAAGAGCAGAACTGGAAGCTCTGACTGATCTCTGGCTCACTCATGCTCTCAAGGCTCTGAATTTGATACATTCCCGGTAAGAACAGCTTAAGGAATCACCTACATATGAGATCCAAGAGTTCTTTTGCTTCCCTTCTTTTCCTCCAAACAAACCAGGGCACGTTTATAGGATTTTGCTGGCCAAATCTGTGGGAGGCCCATCTGCACATGTTTTCCAGATTTGTATTATCCGGGGTAGGGGTGAGCTCAATCTGATACAAAGGACTAAACAAAAGAAAATCCGCTGGTTTTCCTGCCTTGCTGCTGGATACCCCATTTGTAGCATTCCCAGGAAGGTACTAAACAGATTTGCAGGAGACCAGTAAGAGGAAATAGAAGCACTACTAGCCCTGACTTAGTTCACCCAAGGGACCCAGTGTAAATGACATTGGAGATTTACCACCATTTAAAGCACCTCAGTGGTTGGTTGCGATATACACTGTAAGTCTCCGTCTTCGTCACTGGTTTGTTTTAAATGATTTCATTTCTCATAAATTAATAAAGAGATTGTACAAAAAACCTCAGTCATTTTCCATCACATAATCACCAACTTCTCTGGAGCTTTCTCCGGTTGCATCCTGCCCTGTGCTCCCAGCACAGAGGCTAACAGGAGAAAAGGACACAGATTGCCTCACTCACTGCAATTCCAACTATCCACTTTGTTTTCTAGGCCTAACTGTGTAAACGTGTTGGTCACCACAACTCAGCTCATACCAGCTCTTGCTAAAGTGCTGCTATATGGACTGGGCACAGTCTTCCCCATTGAAAACATCTACAGTGCAACAAAGACAGGTAAGAGCAATACAGCTAAGGCCTTGTCTAAAGTGCAATTGGCTGTTTGTAACCAGGTTGTGGCCCTTGAATCTGATCCACTTACAGTGAGCACGGTTGAATTGTTCCTGCAGCTTTATTCACAACACAATTACATGATCCTCCTGTTGGTGTCTCCACATCTAACATACTAACTGCCCATGTTTGTATCAGTGCACCATGGGACGAATCAAGGTAGCTCTCCCATAGTGTCTCAGTGGGCGATACAGTGCCTAGGAGACATGCACACCCAGCAGCATTAGCAGCCTGTGGGCCATATGTTCTGGGACACCCTATCTCACACATCTGAGAGGAAGGAATTCTAATCGAACTTGTTACATAAACATGGCTAAAGGTCCTGTTTACACTGCAGGGCTGGGCTGGACAGTGAACTGGACCCGTTATAGAAAAGCAACCATGGATCAAGATAGAAAAGCTGTGGTTATGTGCTGTGATTGCTAGCAGATATTAATGATCTTGTTTGCTAACACAGACCATGTTTACAGCTATATCTGGTTACAATCTTTGAATGTAGACAGGGCCTAAGGAAGGAAGAATTATGGTCTTTTGGTTCAGGTGTTGGACTGAGAAACAGGAGATCCAGGCTCAATTTCTGACTCTGCCACAGAATTTCCGTATGATCCAGGGCAAGTCACTTAAGCTCTCTGTGGTTCAGCTTCCCATCGCTAAATTGGGGCTAATAATACTCAACTACCTCACAGCAGTGCTGGGCAGATAAGCTCATTGTTTGCAAGGCTGAGACACTTGGTGAGCACCAAAAGAAATGCCTTTTGTAATAATGTTGTTTGACAGCTGACTGAGAGCTCCTTTAAATCAAAGCATATGGACTCAACGCTGAGATACATAACTATGAATTTCATGGATCACAGATCTGCACCACACGAGTATACATGCTGTTCCCACTAAACTCTTCCCTCTGCATGCACCAGGCTCAATATAAAACCTGTGATGGATTTTCTGGGGGGAGACTTTTTTGATTGTTCCAAAGTCTTGGTCAGGAGTCTGGCGAGTTCATTCTTACAGTGACCAGAAGTAAAGATGCAGAGATTATAGAGAAAGCTGGATGGTCTAGTGTTCTGAGTATGTGACTAACAACCAGGGACTCCCAAGATCTCATCCTCTCTCTGCCATTGTGACTCACTGTGTGACCGTGGTCAGATCAATTAAATTAAAACTTTTAAAATTTAAAAAAGTTTGAGAATGTTGGCCTTAATCTCTGGGGGTCCCTGTTTCCCTGTATGTACAGAGGTGATGATCATTCGCTACTTCCCATGGTGCAGTGAAGATTAATGTTTCTAATTTGTTTTGTAAATGTATGTTAAGCAGCACTACTATATCATATTGCCACATCAGGAATGACCAGATAGTCCTATCTGCTTTCCCTTTGTGGGTAAAAATATGGATAAGAATGTGAATTTCAGCTTCTCACAACGCCACACTAACATCCAGCCAACAAGAATTATACGAGGCCTAATATCCAAAAAACCCTAACCTCCTCCAGAGGCTGTACATCCCTTCTTCTTGCCCTTCTGTGATATTATTAATTATTTTTATATTGTGGTGAATACATACCCAGAAGCTCCCTGAACCTCTGACGTTCTCTTGTGGCTAGCACCTCTTAGGTTCTTGCACTCCCTCAAAATGACAAAGCTGTCCCGCCCCAATAGAACTAGCTTGCAAGGAAGGTTGAAAGTGGAAAATGTCAACAACAACAACAACACAAACAAACAAACAAAAAAGTTTTCATTAAAAAAAAAATGTGACCGAAAGCTGAAAGTTTTTCAGCTGAATACTATTTGACAAAAATTGAAATGTTTCTGCAGAAAGCAAATACTTTTCATGAAAAATCCTGTGTAATAGAAAACCCAATTTTCTATCAGACAGTTTGGGTGGAAATTTTTTGGCCAGCCCTACTGGATAGCTCACAGTTGTCCTAGGTTGTTGGACTTAAACACTAAATCATATTTGCCATGTTGCCGACGCCAAGTAGTCACACAACACTAAATTGATTTAAAAATCAAGAGATTTTAAAATGATAAATGTTGGGTTATTTTTATTTGCAGTCTGATGTTTGAGCCTTCTTGGTTCAGATTTTCAAGCTTTTCTCTGCAACCATGAGCACTAGAAACTTTATTCTTTTTAAAATTAAAGCGGAGGTCTTCATGGTGGGGTAATGTGCACTACGGGGTAGGGGGTGATTTCTAAAGTGCACTAACATGTGCATTAATTGGTTTGTGTACACCCTGCTGGTGCGCACTAAAGATTCCCTAATGCACTTTAACATAGTACTGATATATTAATGTGCACTAGGGAACCTTTAGTGCACACCAGCATGGTCTATACAGACCAATTATTGCACAACATGTTAGTGCACTTTAGAAATCACACCCCCTGTAGTGCACATTACCCCACTGTTAGACAAGCCCTGAGATTCCCAGAGAATTGCATGTCTCCAGCAGGAGGGGCTTTAAGAAATACACCAAAAATCACAAGACTTGTGGTAAACATAAGGGAGTTGGCAACACTAGGTAGGTAAAGAAGATGCTGCTAGCTTGTGTGATGGCATCTCAGAGAATGTTGCCTAAGTCTTAATTTGAGAACCAAATTACAAATGCAAAGAAACAAATGAAATCAGGCTCTGCCCCAGCCCTCAGAGCTGAATTCCAGCCCGGCTGCCCAGTTCTCTTAGATAACAAACACTTCTTCTCTTTTGTTGCTCAGGGAAAGAGAGCTGTTTTGAACGGATAATGCAGAGGTTTGGGAGGAAAGCCGTGTATGTTGTAATAGGAGATGGTGTTGAAGAGGAACAGGGAGCAAAAAAGGTACAATTGTTTATACAATTCCAGGTTCTTCGAGTTTTCAGCATTAAATGAAACTTCTTCCCCACCACGTTGTTTACAGCTAGGCTCTTTCCCCCGGTTGCAAATCCTCACATCACCCTGAGCAATTTCCTACTGCAAATCCCACTTCCATAGCCCTGGCAACCATTGCAACCTTTCAGGTGGTCTCAAGCACTGCTAGTTTCTATTACATGTTCCAGGAATTGTTCCTGATTAATAAAGATGGCATTAGACACATGAAACAAACCCCGCTTGTGTGATGTCAGCTGAAGCAACCATGGTGAATTCTGGAGTTTCTGATCTATATGCCACATTCTTATAATTTCCAAACTCCAGCAGAATTTCTCAGGAGTGATTTATCACAGCATATTAATACTCAGTGCTGTCATGGAGGCTTATGTTACAGTAAATAATGCCAAGGAGACTAATAGTAAGTGGCTGCTTTTCTTTTATTAATGATTTTATGGAGCCATTTGATTAATTTTAACAAGCAAAAAAAAACAAACAACAAAGTGGGGAGGCACATCAAATGCAAATAAAACAAAAATGGAAGAATCTGAAAGTGACATGAGCAGGGATAATGAACCCAGAATCCTGAGAGTATTACATACTCATTGGACAGACACAGCCCTTTGTCACTGGCATCCTAAAGAGAGACTGCGGAGCAAGTGTTCTTTGCATCACATGCCAACTGACTGGGAAAGTCCAAGCAAGCCACAACCTGATTTTAGGTACCAGGTGAGACTTCCAGTTAGGGATTAGCAGAACATTTCAGATACAGTAAGATGCGACCTAGACTTTTGCCCAGATTTCTAACTGAATCCAAAACTGATTTGTTTTTTAATTGAAGTTCAAAACATTTTGATTCTTCATTTTTAAAATATTTGTATGTCTCTTTTTCCTGCTTTCCACTGGCACCAGATGCCAAACTGCTGAAATATGGCATTCAACATGGGCTCTTGTGGGCTTTCCAGCCTATTAGGAAATGCCCTTCTCATCATGGCAGTGAGGACAGTCACTAGTGGTGGTGGTGGTGCTGCTGGGGTGGTGCAGTGGCTCTGAGCCCTGGCTGCCGGTACAGTATGTCTCTGGGGATGGAGCGTGCCCTTAAAGAGACAGCATCTCCCCCTTCTAAAAAGCTGTGGTGGAGGGGAGGCAGTTGAATTGGAGCTGTGCTTGTACCGCAGCTCTCATGTGCTACTGATGCAGGGTGGTGGGCACCCATGAAGGGGCTTGCAGCCATACGGGTGCTGCTCCCAGGCAATGCAGGGTGGGAGGACAGCTGAGCCAGAGGTGCCCTTACATACTCAGTGCCCTGTGTAGCTTGTCTGTATGATCCATGCCTAATAGCTGCTGTGGATATTATAAGAATAGTGAGAAGGAAAGATCATTCTGGTGACTGCATTTTATGTGGACTGGAAGAGGGAGAGAGGAGAAGTGGGGATGCCAGAGAGAAGAGCTAACAATAGCATATCATGAGAAGATCCAGGGCTGGGCCAGGTTTATGGTGATGAGGAAGGATAGATTTGGAGGTGAGGTTGGGGGTACTAGTGTGATTTTCACAGTAGAAATAAAGATAAATAAGAGAACATGGCAGGGCATAGTCAGAGACTTTGGGCACAGGGAGGAAGAATCAAGGGTGCCATTCACTAAGGCTGTGCGAGTTTGGGTGAGAATGGTGGAGCTGTTGACAGAGAAGGGAAATCAAACTGCAAATCCCTGGATTACTGCCTGTGAGGGTTTCTGCCTGTTAGTGGGGGTTGGAGTCCCTGAACAATTCAGAGAAGAACCCTGGAGTCAGGAGGGTTCCTGAACTTTCTGTGGGGTAGAAACCTGATGGGAAATCTGCCATTGTTTTGGTTTCAACATGGCCAGAAACACCATTAGATCACGTCTTTCTCAGGGTGTCTTCCTGCTTCCCTCTGCAGTCCCATCTAAGACTCTTGTGCTCTGGGAATGACCATCCTGTGTAACCCAACTTCCCCTGGCCAGTTCCTAGGCTGAATGAGGAGGCAGGAAGCAACAGCCAGGCAAGGCTGGTCACATTGGGAGCACAGGCTCAGGGAGGAGGGGATTCCAGCAGGTGCAAGGTGGGTCAGCACTTGCTCTGTCCCCAGGGTCTCAACCCAGTCCTGCCTTGAAGCAGCCAGAAAACCTTTTCCTCCATGGCACATCAATTCCTGTCACCAACCAAAAAAATCTGGAAATTAGCCAGATTCCCAGGTGCTTAGCTGGTTCCTTAAGGGTTAAGAATCCCTCCAAGAAGAACCCAAAATGCATGGACTGAAAGTGAAGTGATAATAGCCTGCCGCTTTTGACAGCTCTGCACTATACTTCAAAGGTAGTGGGTCAGTGCACATGACTGCATCAACGGCTACCAGGTTCCATGGCAGTATGAAGCAGCAGGAAGGTTCAGCAGCCTTCTACAGGCAGGGTTTCAAGCGGCCTCTTGCTAGTGTCTCCTGGTTTAATCAACTCTCCCATTAGGAGAACACATTCTTTGCTGGAGCTGTCACAGCCTTTGATTGATGACAATCATTAGTCAGGGCTGCTAGCTACACACCTGACTTTATACAAAAAACAGGGTGGGCAGAGAGCCTTTCACTGTTTTGCTGGCAGCACTGATAATATCTCCGTTTTAGTGAGTCGTTTTTCTTCACCTATCCACAAATGATAAATCTGCAAGAGCTGAACAGCAGGCGTGGCTGAGTGTCCAAGCTTTCTTCTCTTTAAAGAAAGGAAGATAGATAATTTAAGTGGAAGGGATTTTATATCCACCAGGGGTCTGAGGAAATGGGAGAGGAAATAACTTTTCCCCTATAAAGTGAAATTGCAGAGCAATGCACTGTAGTCACTTCAGATGCCCCTGTGTTTGCTTGTTGTGTGTAGTGTGAAGTGAACAAAGAAAGTGATAAATAGCTTCAAGGGAAGATTTTTTTTTTTAGTGATAGGCAACATAGCAGAGAGGAGCTTGAACTGTATTTAAGTAGAGAAGAGTGTAAATAGACACCATGTAAAATGAACATCTGGTGTCACTACAGTGTCCTAAGCAGGTAGAAGCCCTGGGAAAGAATCCTCTTCCTTCAACTATTTTGTCTGCTTGGGAAATGAGAATGTGTAATGTTAAGAAACCAGATTAAGGCTTTAGCTAGACACACAAGTTGCACCACTTTATCTGTATTGGTGCAGTTAAAGTGGTACAATCCCCCTAGTGACACCTTTAAACTTATTTCTATGCGGTAAGGGGAGTAAGCTAAACCAGTTAAGGCAGGCTCATACTTCTATAACCCATGCTGGGGATTGTACCGATATCACTATTTTGGCAGTAACTGACATTATACCAGTACAAAATGTGCATGTAGACCAGGCCTCAGTCTTTGGTACAAACCTAGGATGAGTGAACTGGTTTGGATAAGAAAAGAACCATCTCAAATCTTAGGCCACCCAGAGCAAATCAAAGAAGTTCGGATAAAGATCTGAATGTAACTTCCAAATCTTCTGAGAGTCACCCCTTTCAACTGAAGTGACCACAAAAACTACAGAGAATACTAAACACCAGTCACAATTGTCAAAACTGTACCTACAGAGTTACCAGAATATTAACCAGACCCACCTGATGTTTGTACGTCACTTGTTTACTGGCACCCACAAATAGTTGGCATTTTTCTTTTGGAAACATAAATCTGGCTTTCAAAAGAGCATAAGCATAGTTTCCATTATTTTAAATGAGACATAATAAAATGAGGTGACTGCAAGAAGGTCACAGATAGCAAGATTTTCTAGATTTTAGCTGAATCCAGTAGAACCTCAGAGTTACAAACACCTCGGAAATGGAGGTTGTTCGTAACTCGGAAATGTTGTAATTCTGAACAAAATGTTATGAGTGTTCTTTCAAAGTTTACAACTGAACATTGACTTCATACAACTTTGAAACTTTACTATGCAGAAGAAAAATGCTGCTTTCCCTTTATTTTTTTAGTAGTTTACATTTAACACAGTAGTGTATTGTATTTGCCTTCTTTTAATTTTTTTGTCTCTGCTGCTCCCTGATTGTGTACTTTCGGTTCCAAATGAGGTGTATGGTTGACTGGTCAGTTCATAACTCTGGTATTCGTAACTCTGAGGTTCTACTGTATTTTTAAATGGGACATTTCAGTAGAGAAGTACCTGCCAGGACTTAGACAATTGTATGGAGAGCAAGCATATTCAGAGTAATAATAGCAAATACTAAAAAATAAACAAGGGGTTTGGAAAAGGATACAGATTTTTATGCTTTAGGGCATAAGCCAACCTCTGACAAATGGGAGTCAGGAGGAAGCTTCCTTGGGGATGGGTTATCCTGTACCTATTATGGGTAGTGGGATAGGCCTGCCCAGAACTAAAGGTTGACCCTTCAACCACTGAACTCAGACCACAAATAAATGAAAAAACAGGAACGGAATGAATGTCAAAGGTTAAAAAAGTAGAGCACCAGGAGGGCACACCAAGCCAAAAACCCTCCGACAGCACCCACTGCTCCTCAAAGGTGTCTGAAGAGTCAGTGGACACCACCCAGAGGACCTCCACTCAGAGGCATGACATAACAAGGGATCAGAAATAGGCCTCACAGTTGCAGAGCACACCCCCGTCCAGATTCTTCCTCCTGGTGTGATGGGTGGCCATCTTGGCCAGTGCCAGGAGGAGGCAGTCTCATGACTTCGTGGGGCCATGAATGGGGTGTGCATAAATGAGGAGAGGGGAGGGGGAAGTGCAGCCAGAACCTCAGAAGGCAGTTCTGGAATAGGGGTTACAACCTGAGACATGCTACATAGACATGTGCCAGGGTCTCCCTCTCTTCACAGAACGGGCAGGTGTCGGGAGATTCCACGAAATGCACCAGCTCCATGGCCCTGCTCACAGCTCCACAAAGGAACCACCAACTAATAACTCTGGCAGGCCGTGGAACAAGAGTGGAACAGCAGGTCCCCACTGGTTGGAGTAGGGGCAGGATGTCAGGGCGAGGAAGTAGATGGTATGAAGTACAAGTGTGTTCAGATGTTTTCTGGGTGCAGTTTGGCGACAGGCCCACTGGATATCGTTCAGCCAACTCAGGTAGTTTGTGTTGAGAGGGACCAGAGAGGTTCGTGGGGCAGAGGCCAATGATGAGCTCCAGAGGGCCAGGGTGAGGGGTGGGCAAGGAGAAAGACCCACTTGAGAAAAGACCCACTTGAGAAAAGTGAGAGAAGCTGGGGGTAAGGCTGCCTTCTCCTTCTGGAGCACACTAGGGGGGACATGTAGAGTGGGCAACCCCATGCGATAGCCAAGCATTGCAGTGTCCTCCTAACTGTAGTCCAGGAAGTCTCAGATTCTGGTGGCACCAGCCAGGACCATTCTTTGATGTACCAAGTCAGACTCCACCACCTGCTCATGAAGGTGTGGGTTGTATAGCAGGGGTCTGTTAGGAAATCGTCCCCCTCAGTGTGCGCTGCAGACCTGGCTGCTGAGATAGCTTCCAGGTCCTGAGGAGGACCTGGTAGAAGACTGGCAGCTCAGAGAGGTTGGGAGGGAGACCTCTCAGATGGGGAGAGAGAATTGCTGCTGGTCATTTCGGCACCCTCAGAAGTGGTGGAGGAAGGCGTGTGTGAGCACGCTCCATGACGGACTACGAGCACTGGAGTCTCCTTCAAAGGGAAAGGCATCAGAACATCTCTGTCCATCTCCACAGCTGGTCAGACACCCTGGCCTCCAGATCAATCCAATTCTCTAGCGTGGAGGGATCAGTGGCAGACAGGCACACATCAAGATAGAACAGTGGACCTGCACCTCCATTGGATGGTCTGGCGCGTGAGTGGGAGGAAGCCAGTCTGGCACCTGTCCCCAACCATCAGGCCAGAGCTCTTGACCCAGCTGACTTGGGGTGAAGGAGGCTGCTGAATAGATGGTTTGGCAAGTCTCCACCCATGCCAAGTCTTCTGGGTCCTGGGCCACGAGGAACACTTCATCGGTATATGCCAAGAGATTATCCTATAACTGCCTGGTGCAAGGTTTCTTGCATCTTCCTCTGAAACAACTGGTAGTGGGCTAGATGGACCCCGGCCTGATCTATTATAGCAATTCCTATGTACCTACAGATTGAGGTAGGGTTTGTCTTTCCTGCAGAGTGAACTGTAATTGTTATAAAACTAACTGCTTTATGGTTCATGCTTTTGATTATGTAAACAACTTCATTTTATTGCATAATTTCCTAGTCTATGGAGAGGTGGCAACACAAAGGTGGTTTTCGTGCCCTGGAGCATGTGTTATAGGAAAGGATTGCAGAGCTGTGTGGAGAATCTCATAGCACTTGTCTGTCATGTTGCTAAGGCACCTATTGCAATGGATTTTAGGCATCAGGAAGGAGCATCAAGATTTTGTTTCGAAGAACATTATTATTCTAGAAACATTCACGCTAAACCCAGCGGGAAAATGGGAAGTAAAGTTTGTAGTGTATAACAATACAAAATCTTTGCAGGCATCCAGAAACTTGCCCTGCCCCGCTTGTTTCCTCCGAAGCAGGACAGCATGTGAAAGTGCCTCACAAACTCAGGAAGTGCCTGCAATTTCCAGCACTTTGCAATGTTTTTAGTCTCTACAGACACACACACCTGCAGAGGGGACACCAAACCCCCCTCTTTTAATTTCTAAAATGATCCTTTATCTCTATAGCAATATTGTGAGTTGATGGCTAAGGGTGCAACACTTCCCATTGTTCAGGGTGCAAACTATGAAAGATCTTTTGATCCTTGTATTTAAAAAATATATTTTGGTTTCTTTCCAGCACAACATGCCATTCTGGAGAATCTCCTGTCATGCTGACCTGGAGGCTCTCAGGCACGCCCTGGAACTTGAGTACTTGTAGCAGACCCCAACGTCTCAGCGCTGGGCAAGCTTCACTCAGAGATACATCAGCTCAACCTATTCTTTGGTATTTTATATAACGGATCCTACAACAATTGCAGTCATCTTTCTTTGAGGGGAACCCATTGTATGGAAGCCTTTAAAAATCTGCATCAGGAAAGCAATGTATCAAATCCTTCTTCCATTGGATGGAGGGAAAAACCTTCAAATCACCCAGTGGGGATCTTGCAGTTTTATGGCTAAAATGGATTCCTAGAGCTGATACTGGACTCTTGACTGTTTTATTGCCATGTGAATGACTTTGAAGCACACAAAAGACTAGAAGTCCTGGGTCTACTTGTCAGTTTTCTTGCTTTGAAAGGGGGGAAAAGGACACAGCATGGAATTCTGGGCATGCTCACTGGACTCTTCATTACATCATGTGGGACTTTCTGAAAATAAGAGTGAAATAGTTGGGGTTTTTTGTATTTTTTTAATTTATGAACTAATCTCATTACTCTGGTATTAAGCTCTGTATCTGTGTTTTTATCTTCTTTTGAGGGAGGAGGGCAGAGGGTCCTACAATTCTAATTTAATAGTTCTTTTCTCCACGATAAACTCCGTGGACAATCATATTGTGTACATTAGTATTGAGGACATTTGGGACTGTTGGTAAGAATTGTAGCTATGTTTTTTAAAGCTGATCTAGATGGTATGTGGACTGTGCATGTCTCTAAACGGTGCCTTATGCTGCCATCTTGTTTTCAGTGGGTGGGGAGAAGTATCTTGTGATGAATGAAAGGCATTAAATAAAACTACGTTTACATTTTGGGGGAATAGAACACCTGCCTTCTCTTCTCTCCATGCATTGTTGGACCTAGCAGATGTGTAGAATTCTTGCTTTCCCTCTGAGCTAGAGATGGAGTAGGAGAACTTAGACTGGAGATGCAAAGACTACAGTCTGTGGGAACTCCCTGTGATGGCAGTGTTGCCTGCCCTAAAGGGCTCGAGATGGCAAACAAGGGGTTCGTCGCCCAGTGTGCCTGGCACCAATAAATACA